ACATTCTTATACCAGAGCTTATGGCTTATGCAACACTCAGATGTGTGTGACACATGAACCATACTTAAATAGGAAATGGAATATATTTTTGTTTTCCGACTGCAAGTAATTCAACACCTGTTGGTATGAATGAAATTTAATTCAGTTTTGGGAGTTTAGTGGCAGAAAAACATTAGGCCAACCAGAAACAGACAAAAATTGACAAATTTTTTTCATAAAAAATAAACTGGACAAAACCTTGAACAAAGCATTTGAAAATAATATTTGATGATAGAAATGTTAAATTTCTTTCAAAAAATGATTTTTTTTTTTTTGATAAATTAGGCATTCAATTATTGCAAAATTTTAATTCTGGGAACATTTTTTCAACACCTGCCCCAAGGTGTCCAGATAATTAGGGAAGTACTGAATACTTATTTAGTTAGAGAATAAACAGAGCAAAGATAATAAAGACTTTATATTCCGATTTAAAATTTTCTATTTCTTGATAGATTAAGAAAAAGTTGACTCTAAAAAAGTGCAGAAGACTACCCAACAACAGAAATTGCTTTCGATAAAATAATACTTAGAGACTGGATGCCATGATTTATTTCAGATAAATCATGACAATATAATTTTAATATTAAAAATTTCTGTTTACATCTTGATTGATATAGATGTTATTATAGACACAAAATTTCTACCAAGTACAATCAGGACATATTCAAGTGTCCATTATTTGACTGATAGAGGATATCTATTGTACTTGTGATATCAGTTTTGGTTTGTTCCTGCTGAATCAAGGGAGTGAACTCACTACGAGATTACAGTAACACACATTTAACCAACTACTATATCCACTACACCACTGTCCTGAAGGTGTATTTTTGGAGCCTTTATATTCATTGTCTAATTCTGATATTGCCAATTGCTCATCAAAAATGAAATACAAAATTATCAAAAAATGGTAAAAACTTCTTATGATAACCATAAGTTTTTACCACTTTTTGATAATTTTGTATTTCATTTTTGATGAGCAATTGGCAATATACTTTATTTAAAAAAAAATTGTTCTCATCTTAATTGTAGAGGTTATAGATGACATTTCAGATAAGTATCTGTTGGCCATCTTCAGGTTTTTATTGTTTGGCTTATATCATCTATAACAACCAAATGAGAAACAGTTAAAAAAATAATTAAAATTTACAATATCTCACCGCAAACATAGAAAAATAATTTAAGTGTTAGAATTTTAAAATTTTCCTCAATTAGTGCAATTGTTTGACAATTAAGTTAAAGAATTTGTGAAACCACTTTTTTATAAACAAAAAAGTAGAAAGATATTAACTAATCCTATGTTAATTAATAAAAATTAGGTCTTATCTTTTTATAGTGTCTGTAAAATATTAATTCACAAGATTGTGTTATAAGATTTTTAACAATATATTTCCAAGACTAAAATCTTTATGTACTCAGGATGTAGGTGATCATGGCTCTCCACAATTTCCTGTCATTTGTAGCTCTTAATAAATTTTGTCTGTTCAATATCTTAAACTATTCCCCCATCCATTTACTCAAACTCATCAAGTATGCTATGCATTGTTTTCCCTGTCCCGTTTGCCCTCAATCTGTCCTGAGAGCAGAAAATTTTAAAATTCATTAATTTTAAAATTCCAAACAGAAGCTATGAAAAGATAAACAAATACTTTTTTTTATATTTAAAGCAAACATGACTGTCTTTATAATACCTTTCTTTCTTACTGCGAATAAGACACACACACAAATATTCTATACCTCTCAAAAGCTAATCAAATAACATTAAATGCTTTAAAATAAGCAGACATCTGTAATTGTGTTTGAAGTAAAAATAAAGTACAAGAGAAAAGGGAAAGAAACCCGGTTGCTTGTCTCAGTTTCTTGCTCGCCCTGGCTGTCCTTAGAAACACCATTAAGAATGCTTTTCTTCCGACAGCTGGTGTCAATCTCATTCTTTTATTCTCTCACAAAGTACTTGATCCAGGTTTTTGAATTAAATTCATATATGCAAATCGTGTCACTCTCTCTCAACATACTGGCTTGTCTATTGTGCATTCATTCAATTTGGATAAATCAACCTCAACTGATTAATGAAAGGCTCAAGTTTGAATTGCACTGAAATCAATTCTATTTATGGCTACAAACAATGCATTTTGCCACACAATTTTTTTGCGGCAGGCGAACAATGCCTTCTCTCAACAACTCCTTTCTTACAGTGTTTTTAAGAGTTTGACATTCCTACACTACAAGCACACCGCAATCAGATAATTTGAATCCAGCAAATGTTAGATAATAGCATGTGAAAATATTTGTTTATATCTATGTGTTTAATGTTTAAAATCTATCCGAGTTTTAGAGTCGATATCAAATTACATTAACATACCAAATATATCTTCAGAGAAAGTCCTAAAACCTAAACACTTTTAAAGGCAAGCATAAAGTCTTTTTCTTTTAAAATCCACAACAAACATTTGACCAGATGTAAAAAAAACGTTCATAAAAAAGGTATTTACTTAACCTCTAGGACTCTGCATTACTAATATTACTTCCCTTTCCACTGTATTATTTTTCAAGGCCTCTTTATTGTTAATTCCATTCAGAGTTGTTTTCTGCTGCCATAGCAGGATATGACAGCACAACTATGACATTCAAACAAATTCAGGGATTAGAGTCACCTTCAGTGGCATGATAAACTTTATGTACAGAAAATTAAGTCACTTACAGAGTGATAATGGTTGTATTCTATAGCAAAGTGAAAGAGTTAAGAGGAAAAAAAAATACCAAAAAAAATGTCTTTCTAAAAATTCTGTTTTGACTATAATAAGCTTTAGACTTTCAGAGATTCTAGGTATAATTTAAAAAAAAAAAAAAAAAAAAAAAAAAAAAAAAAGTACAATATCACCTTGAAATGAAAATCGAGTAAATTCTTCAGATCAAATTTACCTCCCTTAGATCACATGTAAAATTTATATTTTGGGTGAAGGCAGGTAGAGAATATTTGGCTATGAAAAAAAAAATGGTTTGTTTTTAATAACTTAAAAGTACACAGACATCTAATCTTGATTGTCTAAGCTCATTTCTCAACAGTGAGAATGAGTGAATATTGAGCTTATTTAACTAGGAATGTTAACAACCTCACGGATTAAGAAAACATAAGACACAAAGTCAATTCATTTATAGAACATCAAAATGGACAACAATCATCAGCTACTTTTGCAAAACAGTGCAAATAAAATAAACAATAAATTTTTTGAAAGTTAATTTATAAGTGCAATCAAATATTTTCCTACATTCAAATTTAAACTGATGCTCAACATCTTAATAAAAATTTTCCCTAACAAATTTAAATAGCTTAAATGTAAAGTGAATTTTAAAAAAAAAAAAAAAAACTCACTAAATATTTCTAAGTTTGTTTAGGCTTTTTCCATAATAAACAGAAATAGTTTTATGTTAATCATATAATTTTTATAACAAATCTCAAAAGAAATTTAAAAGCAAGATTTTTTTGTCATAGTAAAACTAAACCTTTTTTAATTGCATAGGAATAAAATTACAAAAATAAGATAAGTGCCTATGAAGGCCCACTTTGATCATTAACAAAATTTATCACAATTTTTTTTTAATTATATAACGTTTTTTCAATTGACAGTTATTTTAACTACTTTTCAGCAATATTTGTTGTTTAAAAAAAAAAAAAAATGATTAGAGTTTTGATAAAACCCAAACATATGAAAGTGAATTTATTTACAACAAAAATATTAAATACTATTATTTACAAGAATAAAATTACTAATACCATTAAAACTAATGGAATGCAATATTTATTATTTACTAATCTATAAATATGAAAATTTTTTTACTCCTAAATTTATAAACATTTCCTAAATTATTACCATTTTATAAAGTTTGAATCAATTGGTAATTAGCCAATGTTTTACTAACCATTCCAATAAGCAATACAGAATGTAAATAAAGAATCTAATAGCATTTCTTATTTTTGTTAATTCTCAAGAACAAAGAAAATATATAAATTTACTTTCATATATTTAAGTTTTATTACAATTCTAATCACCACTTTTTAAAACAAGCATTGCCAAGGAGTGAAGGTAGTTAGAATAATAGTGGTGTCAAGGGAAAAAAAACTGTCCTTCTGACATAGCATTTTTTTTCTGATCATGAAGGTCTAAGTTTGCTGAGATTTGTTACTGGTTTGGCAGATAAAAGAATAATTTTAAGTATATGCTATATTAACTGATATTGATGTTTGACCTGATTATTATTATTATTAGCACTTTTATAATGATTATATAGAATTTATTCTTTTATCTACATTACCATTCTGCCATTTCTGCAAATGTCCAAGACTTTTCTAATATACTATTTTTTTCTTTTTCTTTCAAATTTCCCAGTATTTTTCAAGAATAATTTCCTTGGCAATTTCAAGATCAAGAGACACTATGGCCTCAGGTATTCTAACAAAGAAAGCAAATATGGAAAGAAGTGAAAAGTGTTGAATGATTTGAAAGTACAATAAAAATTACTGTTTGCTATGAAACTTTTATACAAATATACATTAATATGAAATTATACATAAAGAATATATAACAACATACTCCATACATGTTTTTGTTTTCTTTTGGCTATGGTAGTCAAAAGCATTTTAATATATATTCAGAAGCAATTCTATTTATTATTCCAAGAAATATTAAGAGATTATCATCTAATACTGCATCAACGATTAAAATAAGTTATATTTGATCAGATCAAATTTGGAAAAATAAAAGTGGGATATAAATAAAATGTATGTATATGCATGAATGTATTCTATAGACATCAATATATAGCAAAAGTAAAAGACATGAATATAAACATCACTTTTGGAAATTTCTATTAAAAAATAAATAAATTAAACAAAAAAAAAAAAAAAAACACAACTTTGTCCATTCACCAATAGACAAACTTGCCAGAGCATGCTGGGATATCACAGAATGCATATCACCATGCAAAAAGAAAAAAAAATTATAGAGATATATAAAGACAAAAGAAATCAGACTCAAAAGGCAGCCTTGGTCAGCTGTAATAGAGAACAGCGGATGACCACAATGAGACGAGTCAAGAGGGGGCGCACAGGTCAGGATAATTAGCAAGGCGAAATAGCGAGCATCAATAGTTTGCTGTGGTGTAGGATAATGATGATGATGAGGAGGAGGTGTAGGACTTACAGTCGTCGTTTCAATGGTCTGTGTTTTTGAACTATGGGCTTGCGAACTGACCAACACACCCTCCTCAGACTCACGATGTCCGTCGAGACCATCTTTTTGGTAAGACACTTTCCTGGTCTCAGTCTTTACTATGGGTACATTCTTGGTAGAGATTGGTGTTTCAGTTAAATCTGGGTTAAATTTGATAGTTTCCGTTTCGACTGTAGGGGGCTGAAGGAAATGAAAGAATAACTCATTGGCAAAAAGGTGTAGGCAAAGCAACAAGCTGAAGGCTGATAACTTTGCAGAGATGAGTTGATGACAAAAATCAAACACTTCAATTAGAAGGAGGGTCAGGCCACAGGGGGCAGGGAAGACTATAGCTTCTTTACCAATCTAGATTCATTTTATTTTCTTTTTAATACAAAGATTATTGCTTTTATCATTGTCCTTAAAAACTATTTAAGGATCATTTTCAAATTGACAGTGTTTTTGTACAAATTCTAATTAACCAACTCATTAAAATTGTTGTAACCTAGCGAAGGTTACTGAATAGAATAACAGCATGAAGGTTGGTAATGAACAACAATACTTGAGACAAGAACAACACATATAAGATTCACCAGCAGCACATATAAGTAGTAGTCAACTGTTATAAGTGAGTCAAGTGAATTCCACAGTGAATCTCCAATTGTAGACCAACATACAGTATTTACTACTGTAAATATGTGAATGGGGACATACACATTATCATCCATAGGTATGCTACAACAAAAATAATGTCCTTTTACAACTGAGTCCACATGAGATGAATTCTTTTGTCTGACAAACTGTTGACACACACACACAAAAAAAAAAAAAAAAAAAAAAAAAAAGAGAAAGAAAGAAAGAATGTTAATTTCTTAAATCAAAATAATGTAAAAAGCCTTTCATATGAAGACATTTGAACTTTTGACTCAGAATAAGCAGAATACTAAAATGATTTTTTGAGCAAAATAATAAAATTACAAAACTTGCAGAATCGGAGGTTATTTTTTCCTACTAAATACTATCAGAAAACCATCTAAATTTTATATGCCAAACACAAATAGGAAATTTTACACAGAAAAAGAATAATTCCTAATACACTTTTTTCCTGTTTTTAATTTTTCATATTAAAAACATTCACACCAAGAAAAATTAATTAGCAAAATTTTAAGGTGTGTTTTCCATTTTAAAATAAATCAATTTGGATCTTAAATGACTAAAATTGATTTTCAATTCTAAATAATTAACCTAACTAAAAAAAAATAAAATTGTCTAGCAAGATTTCATTTTTTTTTGAATGCTTACAAACAGAACTTGTAGCTCTAAAGTACTTATATTTATTTTTTTTTTTATTCTGACTAAAGTTTACCACAAATAAAATTTGTTTTTTTTTTATTCATTCACACAAATCTGCTGTTTTTTATCACAATATTTCAACCAGAATATCCCCTGACATCCATCAAGTGTCCTATATTTTGGTATGCCAAATTCAAACAACAACTATTTGAATAACTAAAATATATACAATGGATAATAGTCTTTTTGTTACCTCTTGAAATGTAGCAAATAGCTATATTTCTCTTATTTTGGGTAATGAGAAAAGAAAAAACAAAAATGAATATTTCATTTTGTTAGTGATTCTCAAATCAACTGCAAGTACACAACACAGATTCCATCTGACTCTAGTACAGAAACTTTCATGGCAAAAGCTCAGATAAGCCTTTTTTTTTCCTTAGTAGCCCCGGCTGAATGAATTTAAGTGTGCTACTAGATTGGCAATTAGGTCTTACTGTTTTACTGGTGAACTTGCTAGAGGCAACCATCTCTTTTTCATACTTCTCCCTTCTGATATCTTTCTTCCCTGCCAACTACAATCTTCAAAAATTTAAATGCAACATCAATCACCATTACTCAAATCCTGTTCCTTCATAGTCTTTTCTTTACTTCTCAATAAAGTCTTCTCGTTTTCTTTCACTCCCCACAACACACTGCATTCTAGTGGTATTATCACCTTGCTTTGGATGAAATGATTTTTATACATATCATTTGTTACCTTATAAGAAAAGGCTTCAACATGGATCATGAAGAGATTTTTAAAAAGAAATATATTCGACAGTCATCAATAAATAAAGAGGAAGAAACTTGAATGATAAAAAAATAAAATCTTCATATTGTTATCATGAAACAATATGGCTTCCGTTTCTCAATGTTTATTGCTGATGTATTAATGGCTATCACTGAATTTGTCTATCAAGTCTTAAACAAGAATGGCAAAGCTTAGACTGTGGCTCTAGATATCTCAAAGGCATTTGACAGGGACTGGTATACTGGCCTTGTCTACAAGCTCAAGGGTTATGGTGCTTTTGGACAAAGATTTGGTTTCCAACCATTCCTAACAAAATCATGTTGAATGGAAACATTTCACAACTCCTCCCCATCCCCACCTCGGACCTATGCTGTTTCTGATCTTCATCAGCGACTTTCCTGATGTCATCAATTCCCAACAAGGTATTTATGCAGAGGATGATTTATTCCTATCTTAGTAGCAAGTCAGACAGATATGACAAAGTAAAACTGGCAACTACTCTTGGAAAGGGCCTCCGATCAGTGGTTAACTGGGGCAAGGAGTGGCCTGTAAATTTTAACACCTCCAAAACAAATCTGCTTTCATTTAATCCCCATAGAGAACCTTTTCTGGTTGCCATCAGTACAGTTGAAGCTAAACTTCAGGAGAGCAACACGTTGCACCTTCTTGGACATATGTTTTCCACTAACATGAAGTGGAGGGGTTATATTGAATCAATTTCTATGTCTACTGCTAGGAAAGCTGTTTCAATGTATCATACCAGACACTTCATCAAAATCCTTTTTGCACACTTATAAATCTACTATTCATCCATCCATTGAACCCTGCTGCCATATCTGATTTTGCGAACTGGTTAGATATCTCGAGATTCAAGATAAACTTCAAAGTCTGTAATATAATCGATCCTGACATGGCATCTCGACTTCGGTCATTTTCTTACCAATGTGGCTTTTTTTCTACAAATCTTTTTATGGTCATTGTCTTGACTTAGTGCCTCGACTGCATGAATTTAAATGTACCACTAGATTAGCAACTAAGTCTTACTATTTCAGTACTGAACTAGCTAGATGCAACCATTTATTCTAATAGTTACTTTTTTCACACTTATCATCTGTGGAACTTCCTTCAGGTTTCTTGATTCCCTGCCACCAACAATTTTGTAAAATTTAAATGCAACATAAATCGCCATCTTCCTGTTCCTTTGTTTTTTTTCCTCAGTAAAGTCCTCATTCTCTTTCACGCCTCATAATCTCCTTTCCAGAATAAAATCTGTAACTTCTACTCCCGTAAACCTTTAGCCATGTGTTAAAAAAATTATAACAAGAACTTATTTTCATAAAAAATTAAAAAAAAAAAATAAAAGGATGAAGCATTAGTTCACTTTAACCAAGAAGCTAGATCACAGTCCAAATGATGAAAGCCTGACAATTCTTCACCCAAAAAGACGTCCAACCCTCCGGTGGTAAGATGATTACAGTCATCTGGAACAGAAATGGTATGGTAATTATGCATTTCTTATGGATTTCAGCCTCATTACTGTTGAAATTACTTAAAAGCAATAGATGCAATATGTTCAGTAATGGTATCTAGCACTCTTGACAAGGGCTACGGTGCCTTTGGACAAAGATTTGGTCTCCAATCATTCCTAACAAGGTCATGTTGAATGGAAACATTCTTTTGCCTACAATTTTTTTTTCCCCTCCTCCCTATTCTACTGATCTGGCAATATGTGATCCAACTGAGAGGCAGGCATTTGCAGATTAATCAAGTGTAGCCCTGGCTGCAAGACAAATACAAAGGATTCTATAAGAAAAGTCCCCAAATGACAGAAGATGCATAATTCTGAGTCAGAGCTTATTCGGAGAAGAATTAATCAATATTTTAATTTTTGACTCTTCATGCATTATAAATTAGCAAGAACAAATCTTTAATTAATACCCCATACCTATTTAGAAAAGTATTTGAATAGGTGTCAGACACCCCCTACCATCACAACGAGAGAGAGAGAGAGAAAAAGAGAAAGAGAGAGAGAGAGAGAGAGAGAGAGAAAAAGAGAGAGAGAGAGAGAGAGAGAGAGCGAAAAAAGAGAGAGAGAGAGAGAGAGAGCGAAAAAAGAGAGAGAGAGAGAGAGAGCGAGAGAGAGAGAGAGAGAGAGCGAAAAAAGAGAGAGAGAGAGAGAGAGCGAAAAAAGAGAGAGAGAGCGAAAAGAGAGAGAGAGAGCGAAAGAGAGAGAGAGAGAGAGCGAAAAGAGAGAGAGAGAGAGAGCGAAAAGAGAGAGAGAGAGCGAAAAGAGAGAGCGAAAAAAGAGAGAGCGAAAAAAGAGAGAGCGAAAAAAGAGAGAGCGAAAAAAGAGAGAGCGAAAAAAGAGAGAGCGAAAAAAGAGAGAGCGAAAAAAGAGAGAGCGAAAAAAGAGAGAGCGAAAAAAGAGAGAGAGAAAAAAAGAGAGAAAAAAGAGAGAAAAAAAGAGAGAAAAAAAGAGAGCGAAAAAAAGAGAGAAAAGAGAGAGAAAAAAGAGAGAGAAAAAAGAGAGAGAGAAAAAAGAGAGAGAGAAAAAAGAGAGAGAGAGAGCGAAAAAAGAGAGAGAGAGAGAGCGAAAAAGGAGAGAGAGCGAAAAAGAGAGAGCGAAAAAGAGAGAGAGAGAAAAAAAGCTATAGGGCAGAACAAGTTAACCCATGAAAAATACCTTTTGGAGAGGATAAAAAAAAAGTTTTAGCCCTATTTTACCTTATTTATGCCTGGCTGACAAGCTGATACGTACTGCAGATATGTACTGCCTCTTAACTTTCACATTTCTCTAAAATGGCGCAAATTGAGGTGGTATAGTAATAATGAGCACTATTTTCCTTCGGCTCTCATTTTCCTGAAGAAATAAAGATTTTCTTTCTCTTTTCTTATTCATGACATTCCCAATGAAAGCCAAAGAATGAATTGCCCAAAATGTTTGTCAACAAAGAGGAAGAAGGGGTTCAATTGCACACAAAGTTTCAACATTAACGACTCATCATCATTAAGCCAAAAACAAAGTAAATTCTTCCATCTCATGCAACATAACCGAAAATTAAAGTCAACAAGAAGGCTAGTTCCATAAAGATATCAACCTGCCCAATGAAGAAGTTATACAAATCAAGTAAAAAAATCTACATGTAAGTGTTGACAATGAAGTAAAACCGTTTGGCACCACCGCAAAGTTAGCTAAGGATTATATGAGAGCCCGATAACACTCAAACCTCAGGATGTTGTACACACAAGTTTTCACTTTTGGGAATAGATTCTCTAAAGCTAAAATAGAAAATGTAATGCTTACATTTTCTAATCAATATTAAATTGGGCCAAAATATGATTGGGGTGAAGGGAGAGTAATTCAATTTGAGATCAACTCATTTCTGCAATTTGCAACATTCCAAGATCTCAAAAAGTAGGGAAACTGGAGAGAGGGGATGTCTTGATCAACTGTTAGGTGTATATGTGTGTGTGTGTGGGGAATTGTTAAAGAGAAAAAAAAAAAAAAAGAAAAAAAAGGAAGTTTTTTCCAAACCAATTCAAGATGAGAGAAAAAAATGAATAGAAAAGATTAAAGTAATAATCAACAAAGCAATCCAGAGAGAGAGAGAGAGAGAAAAAAGAAGTTAATGGTAAGTTGAAAAGAACAAGTCAGTATAAATGGATAGTTTTTTTTATTGGGTACTAAGAAGGAAATGAAAACATGAGCAAATGCAGTAAAATTGGAGCATACAAACAGACATACCATTTTTTTTTTTTTTTGTTATTTTTTTAAAAGTTCATAATAAAAAAAACAAAAAGGTATTTTTTAGGACATAAGTTAAAAAAAACAAAGACAAGTGTGTACCAGTAGGAGCTACCATCACCTGCCTTTAAAAAAAAGGAAAAAAAAAATAAAAATAAGGGGAATTAGACAAATAGTTTTAAACCATTATACCATCACCTGAACCACCACCATTAGTAGAACCACCCATACTTACAATGGGGGAATTCTTGTCACCATCATCATAGAAGTGTGTATCAAGTGGATCTGCTGGACTTCTGCTGCTGAACTTGGGTGGAACTGGGGGCGGTTTTTTACGAGGTTTTTCGGCAGTTGGTGGTTTGTCTGGACGGATTGGAGCACCTTGCTTCTCATACCCACTTCTAGTGGTCTGCATTCAAGACAAATGTAATAACTCGGTAGGTTTGATTTGAGTTTTTTTTTTTACATAAAATAGCAAAAGAAAAATTGGGTGCAAGGTGCCAACACTACTCAGCGGTTAGTAACTCTTGAGATTCTGTCTTTTCCAAACTCAGCTACACAAAATTCCAACGCCAACATTTTCGTACTAATCAACTTTCCAATATTGGGAACAGAAAAAAAACAAAAAAAAAAAAACACATGCAACTAAATTTGCTTTCAAGCTAAATTTTTTATGCATATCATGCAAATTTTTATATTTTAAATAAATCAAGCCTCGTATTGTGAATGCAGTTTTTTTTTTTGTAAAAAACTGCTCAGTTTTGAAAAGTTGTTGAAGAAAAAAACATGAGCAATTTCCTCATATTTAATGTGAATTTTCTCCATCATGAAATAGAGAATGATACATTTTAGAGCAATTGAGTGTTTTCTGAAATAATGAAAAGATTACAAATTGAATAACTAATATTATCAATATGAGGCATGGTTAAAAAAAAAAAAAAAAAAAAAAAAAAAAAAAAGGAAATGTATAAAAATTAAGTAAAGCAAGCAAAATTAATTCTTAATATTTATAAAAGTTTAATAAAGCCAAAAGATTATTGTATGATGCACAAGAGCAAAGAAAAATACAAAAAGGTCAATGCTTCAATAATACCACACAGTAATTTTTTTTTTTCCAAATTGTTTTCTTTTAACATTAAGATCAACCATAAAATATAAACTGCAAAAATGAACCAAACATTTTGTAGAAGTGTTTTTCTGGTAAATGTTTCAACATTTAAGTAAGAGAAATTTAACTTTGTTCATTTCTGCAGTTAATGAAATTTAAGTTAAACAAAAATGGATTTCACAATGTGGTAAATATCGAAACCATGAAAAAATTAAGTTAAAAATCAAAAGAAAGATTATTTGACAACCAATTAAAAAAAATCCTCATTAGTACTGATGCTACTACTAGTTTCATGAAAGTTTTCAAGCAATTGAAAATATTGCCAACTGCATAAAAATACATTTACCTTATGATTATTCAGTTTCCATCAAAGTAGGTTTTAATCTTTCCCTAGCTAAGTCATTTGTGAATCTACATTTGAAATTTGCGGTAAACTTTAACCTTCATGCCTGCAAAAGTACAACATGCCAAAAGGACAATTTTTCCCTTGACATTGCTATTATTTAGTACTTCACTATCTCAGCAAAGTTATTTACATGTTTATAAAAAATATGTGAACCAAGTACAATGTGATATTTATTATTTACCTTTCATAAAGATTTATTTACTATTATATAAAAAAATGTGAAAAATATTTTTACTAAAAAAAAAAAAAAAAAAAAAAAATCAAAATATGTAAACTGACTACAATGCAACATTTATCATTTTATAAATAACTATGAAAACAATTTTTTTTTTTATTCATAATTTTAGAAAAAAAATCAATAAATTATAAAACAAATATGGGTAATTTGCAGTTTAAGCCCTTTGCTCAGTTTCTAATAAAAATTTCTGTTTAATAAATCTGTTTAATTGTAAACTTATGTTGTTTACCATTCTGAAAAAAGTTCAAACTCAAATGGTTCATCTGCCAAAATCTTTGCCATTCTGCAGTTTATTGACAATAAAAGTTCAAACTCATTTGCGCTAGGTTCATCTGCCATTAATAGTGTTGGTTTTATACGTTTGCTTCCAGTAGTCATGCACGGAAGGTTACTCGTCTCAATTACTCGTCTCAATTACTCGTCTCAATTACTCGTCTCAATTACTCGTCTCAATTACTCGTCTCAATTACTCGTCTCAATTACTCGTCTCAATTACTCGTCTCAATTACTCGTCTCAATTACTCGTCTCAATTACTGTGCAAAACTGAAAGAAATCTTTAGATGCTCTTGAAAGTGAAGCTTGTATTGAATTTTTTTTTTTGGTAAATTTGTTTAAATTATTTAGAAAAGCAATGACAAGTGTTTTTTTTTTATAGTGAAGCATTTTTTGTTTTTTTATAATAAAGCTTTTTATAGTGAAGCCGTAATAATAATGAATTCTTTGTTAAGTAATAATAAAATAAATGATAAAACAAATAATTATCATGCTATTTTTAAGTTTTACACAAAGTTTGTGCATTGCATGTGCATTAATCAAGACAAGTGAAACTTTGGCACATGACTACTGGAGGCAAATGTATATAAACAACGCCAATAATAGCTGCCTTGATGTAGCTGCAATATGAACGAGTGAACTTTTGTCGATAACTCCAAAATTGTAGATTTTAGCAAAATTCCATTGTTGTTTTAGAATTAATCATGTACGTTTACACCTAAATGGAACAATTTGGGAAATTTTTATTAGAACCCAAGTGCAGGGCTTGAAATGCGAATTACCTAAAAATATTTATAAATTAATAAATGATAAACATTGCATTAGTTGGTTCACATTTTTAAAATGTTGTAAATATAAAATTCTTCTTGTAAATAAACAATCTAATAAATAGTGTTTAATATTTTTGTTGTAAATTCTGAAAAAGTAAACGTATAAATTTACTTTCATGTGCTTGAGTTTTATTAAAATTGTAATCTTTGCTTTTTAAAACAACAAATATTGCCAAAAAAAGCCGAGGTAGTTAAAAGAATAGCAGAGTGAAGGGAAAAACCAACACTATTTTATTGCAGGCACAAAGGTTAAAGATTGCCAAATTTGTTTACACAAGCCAGAAAATGTAAAGTTTTAAATATATTAGACTTTCACACATGAAAGTTTTAAAGATATCATTTTACTAATTATTAGTTTTCACTTTCACAATCATTGTCATAAAGAAACTGGGACTAACACCTACAGATACTACAAACTAAAATTATATTAATACACTTTGTATAAAATTTAGTTAAATATAAACTACATTTTCATCATAGATGCTGTATATTAATCATTACTTGTAATCACATGAGAATCTGGTTTAACAAAAATGTGACCCTAAAGTAACAATTTGCAAAAGCACAAATCTCTTTGAAAAGTGTTTCCAGGCCATTTTGGGATTATTCATAGGTTATATATTTTTCCATATATGGAAATGGTTCAACGTAAAATTTATTATCTATGATTTGTGCACTATTTGGAATATCAAGTATTACCAAATTTGGCATAGTAATCAAAGACACTGTCAGAATAGTCAATAACAAAGTGACTTGCAAGTGAAACATTTTTCTTATAAATACAGTCATAAAATTAAGAATGAATATTTCTATAAGCAAATGAAAATTTGCATATTATTTCTGACAACTAATCAAATCTTAAGTCTTTTTTTTATCTATATTTGTGAAATAAAGTATTGTAATTATTTACATTGTTTGGTCTGTTGTCCTCATCTTTACTGTCATAGTCACGATGTTTCAGCTATTGTACAGTCTGGCCTTCTTCAGTTGATACATGTTGGAATTTCCAACTGAAGCTTTTATCCAGAAAAGGCATGGCCCGTGTAACAAGAACAATCTACGCCAGTGGACGACAAATGGTTCAGTTTGAAATTTCGACGTATATCACCTGAAGAAGGCTGGAATGTACAATGGCTGAAACGTTGTGAATATTACAATAAAGATGAGGACATCAGTCTCAACAATGTAAATAGTGCAAATCATTTATTTTTTTTGTTTTGTTTAAATCTTTATTAAATGTGAAATGTATCTTGTACGTGCAAATGTGACTATTACATAACATGCTTGCTGTCATCAAGTTATATAACAGCCACACACACAATGCATGCATACACACAAAGATTCTTTATTTTTTTTGTTTTAATTTTCAGTTTAAATACAGTTCAATGCACTTCAAGAGGAAAAAAAAAACAAAAAAAAAAAAACACTTGTGTTGTTACATTGTTTAGTGAATGCTTTATGACACAGTAAAAAGGAATTGTTGTTATTGTGGTATTTAGCTAAAGAAATAAGAATATCAAATCCAATTCACCCAGAAAAAAATTAAAGCAGCATCAGTATAAATGAAGTAGTAAAAGAAAGTGGAAATTGCTTTTGTCGAATAAGTTGGGAAAGAATTTTTAAAAGTCAGAAGTAGCAAAGTGTAGAAGATGGAAACAAAAAAAAAATTAACTGAATATGAATGTTGTTAATTTAATGAAACTGTGAAAGTGGTAATAGACTTAAAAAGAATGAGATTTCCAGCTGAGAAGTTTCTTGACATGTTTGATATGATCACCCAAGGTCAAAGAAGACTTACCTCTTAATAAAGATTTATAGATAAGCAGAGTGTAAGTTTGTCTTCCTTCCTTCTAAGCAACTTTTTAAAAAGTATTTACAATTGAAAGTTCCATTAATCCAAGGAACGTTTCCAATGATCTGTCAAGGGTATTGGCTATTTCACATGATACAAAACTAAGGCAATTTTAGTTAATAATTAGTCATTAATAAATGCATGATACACTAAATGCTTTGAAATTCTGTCATAATTCTAGCTAATAAAAGAACACAAGAGCAATTTTCATTTTGGAATTCAGGACTAAAGAGATTTAGCTTTAGCTCTTGTTGATGGAGATATCCATATTACATAAAAATTTAGACTCTTATGTGATGCATTTTTATTTTTTATGGCTTATGCTATAAAAAATATTTTCTTCTATTTAACAAATATTTTTGGCTAATATTGAACCTGCTTAATATACATTCAGATCCAGTCTTTTTTAAATATATATTTTTCATATTGTTACATTTTCAATATGGAATGTATAGCAACAATTTTGTTATTTTTTCTAAAAAGCCAGAAATAAAGACAGATTATTTTTTCTTTTGCAAGGGCAAAATATATGACGAAAACATTTTTTTTGCTTAGTAAATAATTTGTTGCAAACTAATTTTCATTTGGGAAGAGAATTTTACAAACTAACACACCTTAAGAGAAGCCCAAATCTTTTCTTTTTTTTTTTTAACCTGCTCCAGAATATCTACAAAATATTTTTCACAAAAGTCTTATCTATT